TTCCAAGTCATTGGAACCTTATGACTCACAAGAGGCACTGGAAGTTCTATAATATGTATTTATAACACAAAATATTTTATAACACATAATATATAACAATAATTCAGAATTCTTATATACATAGATTTTGTGAGATTCAAAACGAGAGATCATAAATCATTTGAAAGCTCCAGAAATAATTTACAGAATCTGAATGAATGTATACAGACTAGTGTAGCGTGTTAATTATGTGATATTGATCTCAGGAAACTTTCCCAGTAAAAATGAATGAATTAGGAATCATTGAATATTCTAGTGCAGGTACTGACTTATATCAGTCTTATTTGGAATGGACACAACCACCTAATACTTGGGAAAATATTTTCAATAGCCTTCTAAGGAAGTAATTCTAACATCACCAATACTTTCTTTATAGTAAGAGGTCTCTGGCTTTTAACAGACAAGCTTTATCATAATGTTGTATTTCTTTTGTGATTCACTGCTGTCCTTCACAATCTTGTTCTCTAACTCACTTCATTCATTCTGGAGCAGATATCTTCTGATTTGCACTACCAGAATCCCCTTTTTACCAACGTCTGTTCTTTGGACAAGACAAATTAAAGCTTCTTCCATAGAAGATGAGTAAAGTTGACACAACCAGGTGACAGGGTAAACCACTGTCTCTTTCTGGACTAATTAAGAGTTACTTATTGATGTTTGGGTAACTTCAATAAGGTTGAGAGACAGTAGATTCCTGCTCCAAATCTGCCCAAATAAACATTTAGCTATACTTTATCCAGAATCCAGAAACTGGATTATTAGCTGCTCTAGATGACTAGAAAAGGTCCTTCTTATTTTGATGATAAAAAGATCCAGCTTGAATATAAAGTAGTTTTCCTTAGGGAAGAGGAATTGATATAAATAATTTTGATTTCAGTTAATCAATATTTTTCAATGAAAAATCATTTCATAAAGAAGAATAAACTCACTAGTCTTACTGACTTCTTTGACCATCAGATACTTCAGCAGATGCACAGAATATGCTCAGCACTCATATCAAGATCTCAGTCCCCAAGACTCATGAAAATGGAATGTGTCACTACAGCTCCTCAGTGGGAAAGAAAAAAATATAAAACAGTTGAGTCAGGTTGCCCAATCCATGTCGGTCACTTCACTGCTCCAAATAATATGATAGTGATACTAGCGGTGAAATCAAGACCCATGTCAATTAACAAATATAGGCTGCTCAATTCTTTAACACATTCCAGAGGGAAATTTCAGCATGAACTCAGCAACAAAGACTGACAAATATGAGGACATTCCACTAAAAATATAAAGAGTGACTATTCATTGCACGTAACTATGGCTGCTGAAAGCGTCTAAGGAATTCTCAGTTTCCAGTCTAAACACTACTTTTGTCAGCGCGTTTTCTGGAATGAAGAGGGCAGGGTGTTCCTGAGATATGTTCAACGTTGGGGTGGCAGCAGATGTCAGGAGAAAACTTTGCTCCTGCTGGAACTTGGTCCGGTTGAGATTTATAATGAGATGCAATGTGAAATGTGTCTCTTTGGTCAAGCATATACTTAATTACAGACCATCACTGGGTTATTTAAAGTTCAAATTATAGTAGAAAAGTACAGTTTATATTGTTTATCATGAGCAGCACATTTACTATCTGGCTGCATTTAAACAGTATTATGTGTCTGTACACCAAGGTGACAGGCACAAAACATATCATGACATAAAGGCACTGAATTAAAATAAATTACAGTTTCAACAGGTCTTGCAACACACTAGATATGGATTTGTTTATAAAGATCTGACAGAAGTACCATATGATGGCTCGTTACCACTTTAATTAACAAAAAAGAGATCCAGTAACATCCAATTGCCACTGCTATCACTTAATGCTCTGAGACGTGGTTTGCCAGCCATGAAGTTAATGATTACAAATAATGAACTTAAGCTTCCTGTTGGGAATTCGCTCATTCTGCATCATCAACAGAATGTGAACTTGTGACATTTCCATCCTGCTATAGCTTGACAAGAAGTAAAATAGAAGCAGCTGTGGGGAAACTACTAACAGACTAACCAAAATCCATGAAACATTTTACTAGTAATTGTAGTTGTCTTAGAAAAATGTTATATTACTAGATGTGGGCTAAGTTAAAGTTTTGGAAAAGATTCTGAAATGAGAGTTTCAAAACCCAAATTTAAATTGAGAATTTGTGTGATACTGAGGCTTTGAAATTCTGTGCTCAAGTCCTGCCAGCTACATGGATGGACTTAATTTTTTTTTCCATAACACAGACACACAGCAACAGTGGAAGAGCAACTGAATTGCTACTGAAGACAGAAAAAATATTATGTACAATAAGGAACAGCTACTTTCCTCTTAAACCACATGTAATAGAGGTCATAACAGGCAGAAATCTATGAGAAAAACAGCAATTGCTAAGTAAATACTGTTATAAACTAAAAGTGTTTTCAGAACCCAGCAAAACAAGGAACATATTTGGTGCAGTTACCTTACTAAAGTAAATTTTGTGCAGAAGGTTAAAATAGTTGGGGAAAAATGTTTGATTGGAAAAACTATTCTCTTCTATGGGAGGTCCTTTCTCAGAGTATTCAGATTGCAAAATAATGAGATATGCCACAATACTGAACCACAACCAGAGCTGATCTCCTGTGAACTTCATAATTAGTGTGAAACTTCAAAAAACATGAAGGACCATCAGTACCCGACTGCTGCTTGCTACCACATATATCATGGGACTATTTCTATCTTGGTGCCTTTTGGGCCATTCTCAGAAAAAGTATTTAAAGGCTTTTTTAAAGGGCTATACAAAGTATTAACTGATCAGCTGATAACATCAGATGTATGAATGAGGTATTTCAAGGGAACTGGGCAAGACAGAGGGGAAGTTGATAGCAAGAGCACAAAGAGAAGTCTGGGAAACTCTCCAGAACAGATCTACTCATTAACTCCTTCCACATCAAATATGTAGTGAAATAACATTAGGTCTCAACAACTATCCTTACAACCTCTCTTGGTATCAGGATCCAGAGAGGAAAACCTTAGTAATTAATTATACAAATGAACATTTACTCCCATGAGTTCATAAATGACGTACACAAGATATTTAAAAATAATACCCCATTCTTTCTCCTGAAAGCAGAACTGTAAGAGGTCATAGTTAATTCATCCCTTTTTCCTACCAAAGAAAAATGGATAAATTTGCTTAGGTCTAAATGAGCTAAGTATTAATCTTAACATAGCCACAATTAATGCTCAGTTCCATAGAATTTCCATTTCTCCACTAACAGTTTCATTGCATGTTTCTGTTGTGCATTTTTTGTAACTGAATTAATGTGAAATATGGTAAAGTTGTGGTATTGTACATTGATAGTAAAGGTTGAAAACAGAAAGGAACACGCTGACATAATGTTTCATTATCCTCATTCATTGCTTTTTCTCCATATCTCCCAATACATTAACAGCCTAGTTCTACTCTGGTTCTGTTGGCTTTTTTCCATAAAAATTTTTTTCACCTTGCTTCACATATTCTCATTCAGTCCTTATTGGTTCTCCAGCTACTTTATGAACATTTCATGTCTACCAGCTTATTCGCTGCTCAACCCATCCTTCCAGTGTACATGCACTGAAGAAGGTCCCACCACAACTTTTAACCAAATCAGTGTCTTCTTCCTCTTCTTTTGATATTTAAATGATACAGTACATAATTATTACTGACCTATCTCACTAAGCTTTCAGCACTCTCTTCTTAAGTAGCTCTCCTGATATTTCTGAAATGTTTCTTTCCTAAATAATGACTACCATCCTATCTCCTACTCTGATCCACATGCTACAAAGGATTGAGCTTTGCTGCTTTATTTGGCTCTAGCTATTCTTCAAAGCTATGAAGCCCATAGTGGCTTTAGGTGGTTTCTGTAGAAGGACTGCTCTTCCAGCACATTCTGACCTCTAGTTCCATAAAACACCCCATTCTCAAATCTCTCTACTATAAAGAGTAACTTGCTCTCTATACAATTTCTAAAGCTGCTGCTGTTGTGAAGAAAGACACATTTGATGTTGGGGCAAGTGTGTGAGACCTGGCACCTAATGATCCTGGGTATGATAATGACGCATCTTCCTTATTGTCTGAACAGAACAGACAACAGAACTGAACAGAAAGTAGACAAATTAAAGGTTGTGCATTACTGAGAGGAAAGATGTTTAGAGACAAGCTGAGAAGAAGTTCAGATTCTGAAATTCCACAAGCGTTCTGTGAAAAGCATTGCCTCCATATAATTAGAAAAACAATAAACTATCAGATTAATTTGGTTAGACATTTGTGATTTCTACTTTTATTGGGAAACTCATTTCATGCAGATTATTTTTAAAAATAAGGATTTGACTGGTTGTGGGTCTATTTATCATTTATAGAAAGAATTTCTAGAGCAAAAGGGGAAAAAAGACTCTTGGAACACCTGCAGATACTATATCCTATGCAGAGAGTAGCAATGGAGGAATTGGCAGTGTTGTCAGAAGACAGATTGAAATTTGTTTCTTGGTAGGCTTTCAAATTCAATTAAAAGTATGCATTTGTAATTATAGAAATTTAAATAAAATGGACACATAACATACATGTGTATGTGCATAGTGTGTATTCCTATAAAAGATGTCTAAAGATTTGTGGCCATTAAAAGCACACAACTCCCACAGTTTTCAGTGAGATCAGCTCTCAGCCCTTTATCATTCCAATACACAGGCCAGGTATATGACATGCATAGGAAAATGTCTTCTGGAGAACACAAGAAACACATGCTGACTGGTAATTAGGGACCTTCTGATTTTACATCTAGAGATTCTTTGGGTGGATAACAGTTGACGCACAACTATTTTGGATTTATAACTGGTGACTGTAAACTACCTGATTCCATTGGTTTTAATTTAGAAGGAAAATAGAAGGGAGGGTTTTCATTTTTATGTTAAAATAAACTAGAGCTGGGCCACTCACCTATTACACAGAACGGTTTCCTTGCAAAGCGCAGTCTTCCTTGCCATCCTCGGTATCGACAACAGCATCCAGCAGACCAGATACGAATAATAAATTCCAAACCAAAGACAACAATCATGACAAATTCCTAGAAAAGACAAATAAGAAAAATGTTTAACAGATAGCCAACATGGAAGCATTAAGAAACACCATATGTGTCTAGCAATCCATCTTTATCACCAGAAGATCCCAAAGCCAATCTTGGGATCCTGCTCCTCATCATGGTTGCTGGAAACACAGCCCCCAAATTTTCCTGGGGAAACATCCAAATCTAACATGCTAAAATCAGCTAATAAGTATCAAACACAGAATGGCTACATCCTACACATGCAATATCAACTCAAAATTCTCCAGAGAATTTTGGAAACTGAGGATCAAACCAAAGGTGGTTCACATAGCTAGAGAGATATTATCCACGCCCATGTTCTTATTTTGAAGGCCAAAAGTTATGGTAAATATTTCTTCATTGTACTCCACAATAACAGTAGATACGTGAACTGACTGAGATGATGAAGGAGCAATTAGGGAATCCATTTGTTCCCAGAAGTAAGCTAATACATGCAACTGCAATTATATACAATGAGTATGTAACTGTTTGTAAGATAGCAAATAAATATTCACAATAGGCATAATTTTTCCTGGACAAGTTTTGGGAAACATCCAGAAGTATTTCCCTCTGCCTAGACTGCATTTCTTTCACGTTGGAATCTTCTTCAATACTGTTCATCTCAATAGCAGCAACAAGTTAATGGGAAAAAAATAAAAATAAAAAAATCCATACAACAGCAAGAGTAACAGAATTTTAGCATTAAAGATTGGAGAATAATTCAGCTCTATACCTTAAGGAAATCTGAATGTCAATAATATGCAGCAATATAGTATCTACATACTGGTTCAGAATTATTAATTCTGATATTATTCTGGAATGCCATAATAAAGATACAGGTTTTGAAAAGATAAAATTTGTGTGCTAACCAAAAGGAGAAAAATACTTGAAAGAGGTTCGTAAGCAGTTCATCCAGAAGAGGATGAAAGCTGTTTTTTTATTAGGCAGCTGAATGCATTTCTACATTCAGGAGAAAGCTGTCCCTTCAGCTAAATAATTCGGGGATGAGGGCTACTGTGGAAGCAATGAGAAAACAATGCAAATAAATTAAAAAGAGGAATGTTTACAAGGGTAGGGATGATCCAATATTGTCTTTTCCTCAATAAAGTGTTTGGATGTTTTTAGACTGTAAGATCCTAAAATTCTGGAAGATCTGCAGAGATCGCATATATCAACTCAGGCACTAATTTACCCTAACTAATGACAATATTAATATTTTGTCATTACAAGCTTATGATTAATGGAAGTACATTGAAATATTCTAAATTTAATTTGCTTTTGCTTCTCAATATCATAGAACAATTTGAAAACATACTACTCCATCTTAAAATGGCAGCTTGTACAGCTGCATTGCACTGGAAGATTTTTTAGGCCCTCATTAGTGTCTTCATTTCCAATTGTGTAAATCCCATACTGAATTCATAAATCACAAAAGCAAAATGAAATCCCTTTGCTAAAATGCAGCTAAAGAAAGTGTTAATAATATTTTTGGAAGAAAAATGAGTGTGACTGTTTAAGATTTTCTTTTTATTCATCTTTAGCAAACTTCAACTTAATTCCAGTGACTGAACTGGAATTAACACAACTTTAGAAAAGATTATGTGTAAAGCTGAAAAAGTTCTCCATATAGTAGCTGTATTTCGTACCAGCAGCAGCCTACCGTGTGGTGCATTGCCTTGTATGAAATTCTGTGTGGGCCAAGAAAAAAAAGGAGAAGTAGACAAACTGAAAAAAGAAAAAGGAAGAACATGCATTTTAGTTGTCTAACTGCCACTTTTAAAGTGTGAATTGTTGAATCTCATTTACACATTTTTAGATGATGTCTCTGAATCTACAGGGGTTGATAGCATGTGTCCATGCCAGTTGACATCTGATTTTCTGAGAAGTTACACTTCTACAACAACAAATACCCCTTGGTAGGGATAAAAGATACTGAAGGAAGAAAGGAAACATTCTTTGTTTCCAATAAAATCTTTTCCTTGTTAAAATCACATCCCATTTTATTTCACTGGTTTCCCTAGAAAACTTACTGTGCGTACAGATGTGTAAGAAACATCTCCCTAAGTAAGCACCCTGAGATGTCACAGGCATCCTTCAGCCTGTGCAGGCAGTGCTGTGTGTGAGAGCTGATCCACACAGGCAGAAGTGAGTCTTCCATCACATCCCAAACCCCAAGATCCCTGCTAGGCCTCCCCTGTGGAGCTGGCATGAATGGAGAGCGCTTAATGATGCACAAAGGACTATTCTATAGCTTCATTTTGGTTAAATTAGTATCATAAAACTGCCGATAAAAGTTGAAAAGCGTTAATTTTTTGGTAGTTTAATATTCTGGTTCCTATTAGTGCTATGCAGCTTTGCATTTGTCATCTTTACTACCATTAGCAATTACTATTTGCTACAACACTCAGTTACGCAAAGATGAGCAGAGTCATTGTATGCTGAAAGCATGTTTGGGAGTCTTTTTTACTGCATGGTCTCCCCTTGGAGGCAGAAATTCCATTTTTCTCTCTCCCACACGCATATATATACAAATGAAAATTCATGACAATACATTGGCTCTGAGGAAGAAAAAAAAAAAAGCAAAAAGCTATTTTCTTTTTCTTTTTTTTCTTTTTTTTCTTTTTTTGCAGGTGGAGGGCAAAAGTATGAGATTCTTCTTGGAAAAGTGTGGAAGAGACATCTTTGTTCACTCCACAGAAAAAAAACAGTTACAATTTCTAGCAATATTATAAACTTACGCACAGTGATACACTCTCAAAATTAAACTTTCTCTTAGTTAAGGAAATGTTATAAACAGCAGCTGTAGTTACAGTAAGTCAGCTCAAGTATATTAAACATGGCTCTGTGCGCTGGAATGATGATTTAAAAATCCTGCATCAGGCTTTCTTACACATACCAAATTTCTCTGGGTTTTAAAGTACAGTATAAGACTGACTATCAGAAAAGTCATTGAATAAGGTAGAGATGGGATTTTGCACTTATTTTTGCACATTCTGAAAGAGTAATATTTCAAAATGATCTTTATATCCCAGCCACCCCTACTTCCTTGAAGAAAATTGAATTTAAAAGGAAAACATCGTCATGAATGCAGGAAAAAGATTTTCCAGAAAATGTGAACACATTCAAACAGAAACTCTTCGTAGCACTTTTATGGGTCAGTTATGGATTGGTTCAGAAACCAGAAAGAGACAGTCCCACATGACTGAGAAAGAAGTAATGTTTCAGTCATCAGTGCACTCAATCACAATGTAAAGACAAATCTCTGTCAAGGTTAACTCATGCCAGGGAATAACATTAGTTTTCCCTATAGCAGTTGTACTTCATGAGTTTTCTGGTTTGTTATGCACAAAAATTGGAAGGATGCATCTCAAAAAAGACCTTTCTTTAAAAAAAGAAAAAACAACAGAAGAATAACTTCTAATCATAAATCTAGACTTTTAAATAACTTGCTTTTAGTTTCTTAGCAATTGAAACATAAAATCAGAGCACAATTAAAAAGGCATGTGATGGAGTAAATCATTAGAACTCATACAACTTGCTCTAGAAATGACACACTTGAAGTATCTTTCTCCTGTGTATAATATGATGGAACATCACTAATTCTGGTTCACTTAAGAGATATATAATAACAAGTTTTACATTGGAATGGGAAAAATCTTCCATAGATGATAAATCTGGCTTAATTCCAAGTTTAGCAGGACTGAGTTTGAACTGATGTGTAAATTAACAGCCTAACCCTCCCCTGATGTTACAGCAAGGATCCCCTGGCCTTTACTGTATCTTCCTTGTCCAATCTATCATCATCCTTTCCAGTCCAAGATGCATGTGTCCTTGCTCCACAGTGATCTCAGCTGTAACTTTCCTGGCTGATTTACACTCACAGCTAGCCTCCCTCTATAACCAGCATGGCAGATCAACTGGTACTTCAGAAAGAGGAAAGTCTTTTTTTCTACTCAGAGCACAGTTCATCCAGACTGATCTCATTTTGAAACATTTCTACATTCACAGCTTCTCTTGTCATAGAGAGCTATGCATATGCAAGAAGCAAGGCTGAAATTTGGGCTTAAAATATTCAGTTGTTTTTGACATAAGGAATGGAAATGCCAGTGTGTCCCTGAGGTTTTTTTTTTTTTTTTTACATTTGCCTTGGTTGCTTTGCCACTGGAACAATGAGAGTTATGAAATGGAAGGAAAATAAGAGGTCATCCAGAGCAAGGTTTCTATTAACAAAAGGTCCTGCAGGACCTTCATTTAAGGCAGCTACAGTGTGTGCTTTTGATTTTCTTATATACTGCCCATCTAATACAGTACCAAAGACAATTTGTTGAAATTGTCTATGTTAGTGTCCTTCTCAGATTGTTTTCAATGATAAGTATTTTCCTCAGTGTAACATTAAAACAAAACAAAACAGAAGAAGATTTTTATAATAGCTTTCTTGTTCATTAACATAACGGTTCATTAGAACTTAAAATAACTTGATGCACTCCTGCTGCTGAAATCAGGTGTCCGGGCTGCAGACCATCATTTCATGCAGTTAGAGCCATTTCCATGATGAGAAAATGACCAAAATTGAGCACTCCAAGCAGTTCTTATAGGAAGATCCTGTTATTTTGAAATATATAAATAAGCCAGGTTTGGATACAAGGCATCCATACACAAGAAAACAGCTCTGCTGTTATTTTAATTATACTTCTTGTATGGAAATTGGGATATTATGTATTCCAAAGACCGCTGAAATAAACAATGGAGCTGCAGACTGCCTGCCTTGAGGTCACCAGAGAAAAGGGTCTATAAATGACATTATCAGTAGCCTACGACGTGTACTTGAACATATTAAAGTAATCCCCTGAAATAAGCTTTAATCAGGCTGCAAGTGCTTCCATACTGAGGACAATATCTCTGTAGTGTAGCTGCACTGCAGACACTCATCTGGTGTAAATCAGCAGCTTCTCAATCAACACAACAGGAATAATAGGAGGAAT